TGACAGTCCTCCCTCGAAGTTCCTGGCCCAGGGGTCGAAAGATGGGAGTGTCCATCTTTTCTTCTGTTATTGCGATATATTACATTTATTGTTTTGTGTATGTTGAACCACTCTTGCATCTCTGGAATAAAGCCTGCCTGGTCATGTTCTGTAATCTTTTTAATGTGTTGTTGGATACTATTTGCTAGTATCTTTTTTATAGTATTTTATGGAGAATTTTTGCATCTGTATTCATCAGGGATATTGGTCTGTTGATTTTCTGTTTTGTTATGTCCTTGTCTGTTTTGAAGATCAGGATGATGGATGCTTCATAAAATAAATTTGGGCAGGTTCTTTCCTTTCAGATCTTTACACACAGTTTGATGATAATCAAAGTTAATGCTTCTTTAAAAGTTTTCTAGAATTAGGAAGTGAAATCTGGGTTTTTCTTTCTTGGGACACTATTTATTGCTGATTCAATCTCATTGCTTGTTATTGGCCTATTAATGCTTTTTATTTCTTCCTGATCCAATCTCGGTACATTATATGTGTCCACAAATGTGTCCATCTCATTTAGTTTTTCTTGTGTGTTGGTGTACAATTGCTTCTAATATTATTAACTTGATTATATTTTAAAAGACATTATTTCCAAATAAGGTCATATTTATAGGCACCCGGAGTTAGGACTTGAACATTTTTTGGCATGAATGAGAAGGACAAGTCACCTCGCCACACATACTCATGTAGGGTTGGATGCATCAAAGTGTTTTATAGATTAAGATATACACAAGGAATATAAATTCCATCTCAACGGATAAACCTAAGTGATGTTCATTTTATATATTCCTTGATAGTTTTTAGAAAATTGAGCCATAAGATTCAATACTTTACCCAAACAGAGTTTTGCATTTCTTCCATGTGGTCCTTGCACATTTTAGAAGAGCTCATTTGTCATCATATATGTGATTGATCTGTTTCAGAATTTGTTTCTTCCAGTAGACTCTAAGCTCTTTGAGGAAAATAACGGCAGCTTATTAATCTCTGCAGCTCCTGTGTCTAGCATGCCAATCGACTCACAGTAGTTCTTAGGAAGTCACTGAAGGAGTGAAGGAGACCTTGAGGAAGGAAGGAAGATGCTTGTGGAGCTGCTGTTTAGTGGCTATGGGAATAGGAAGTGTATGATTTCAGAGTTGCTTCCTCAGGACTTTCCTTTCTACTATGATCTTTTGAGAACTGCTCAGGGTCTCAATGTACAATAAACACTGAAATTTCAAAGCAGTCTCAGACCACGTGAGTCTTTAGCTCATTAAAGTAGCTTTTTTCCTTAAATGCTTCCAGGTCAATCCACCAGTGGCATAGTATACCACGAGGAGGAAGAAGGGATAAAAAAGTGCTATGTGGGGACCAGGAGTTGGCATAATGGCTATGTCGCTAAACTCCCTTATAGTCAACCACGATTCGAGTCCCAGACCCAGTGGCTTAAACTAACGCCAGGTGTGTGTGCGTGTCTGCCCAAGATCCTGAGAGGAGAATGGAGGAGAAGGGATTGCAGTGTGGCCATCTCCCCTGGGGGGTGATTTCTCACTTTATATTTCTCTGTCTCTCTCTGTTTCTGGCGAGTGCATATGCCCTATAGCAAAAACCTGTCAAAAAAAAAAAAAAAGGAAAAAAGAAAAAGAAAGAAAAAAAAACAGTGCTATGTGCAAGACATGTATTTGACTAATTTCTGTAAATGTATCAAGGTTGAATACTTAATGTGCTAGAGCCAATAGCTCTCTCTAGTGGACCACTGTCAGCTGACATCAGAGACAATATATAGTTCTTTTTAAAGTTTTGTCATACCTTTTCATACCTAACCCATTATAATGTCGATAATAAAAAGCTGTGTCCAAACTCCAGAGGAAGACAGAGTCAGATAAAATCAGACAGTCACAGGAAATATAGAAAAGGAGGAAGAATCTTGTGGAAAACGCACCCAGAATAGACTGGGGGATTTTGGGTGCCGCCCCTCCCTTCTCCTTTTGACCCTCAAAATAGTGACTGATAAACCTTGTTTTATCTCCACAATCATGAGTCAGGTTGTGATATACAAGTGCAGCATTCACAGGCAGGTTCACAGAACATGTGAAATTCAATATCATGAAACATAATATCACTCTGTAGGAGCAGGGATTTTGCTCATCATTAGATCCCAAGTGCCTTGAAAAGTGCAAAGCATATAGTAGTTATTCAGTAAATATCTGTTTAATGCATTATTAAATGAATTAAATTGACTAATCAGAAACTGCTGTGGGCAGTCAGAATGTCATATTCGGAAAAGAATACTTGAGCAAGAAACTCCTGAAATAAAACCGTTGTCCAAGTAAAGTGAGGCTCTGCTCAATTGGCAGCAGTATGGCTAGGAAAGGGAATATATATCTTTTGAGGTAGTTAAAGCAAATATTCCTTATCCCAGAGTCAGAGCCCTGCTTCCTCTCTTTCTTCCTTGGCTAGAGCATTTATTTATCACTGAATTTCCAACTCACCAACTCCCTTTGTTTCCTACTTAAAGCAAAGGCCAAGGCTAACAGAACAAATTTTGCTTGAACTAAACCCCTACAGGGTTGGCCAAGCAATATAAAGATCACTATTCTGTCCTTCAGTGCCTATTCCAGGATCTGCCTCCTCTAACACTTTCCCTTTCTAAAGCAATTGGCAAAACAAAACAAAACAAACAAAAACAGGTATTGGCTCCTACTTTCAGTTTTCCCCTTCACATGCTCTGACATCTACCTAGCACACCATTTTAGCATTAGCAGCAGATTTTTCTAATTCTGCTCTAATTCATCTCTGTGATTAACCCTCCATGATCTCTTCTTTTTTATCTGTTTTAGATACCTGCAGTAGAAAATAACCCTTTCCTTGTTGGAATGCACTATTGGTATTTAAGCCACAGCCCTCGAACTCAGCACTGCAATATTTGTCGGGAGAGTATTTCTGCCTTATCTAGAGATGCTATTATCTGCGAAGGTACTTTTCTGATTCATTTAGAAAGTAGAGTTCAGTGGGTGGAGAGAGAAGTGAAAAAGCTTATGTGGCATTAGTGTCACTGACTCACTACGTAACTGCCTCTGGTGTGAAGTTAACCCTGACTGAGGAAAGAAGAGAGGAAACTAGATGAGGGGGAATTCTAATGAATGAAAAATGAGGGTGGGGTATGTAGAGAATGGGACTATATGGTCACAAGGGTTTGAATAGACAGAAAACTCTTCTTCCCTTACCATTAATTTCTTTTCAAGTCAGATAGTGGAAAGTTTAGCTGGTAAGAATAAAAAAGGACTGTATCATATTTACAAATAGGTGTTTGGAGGTGGATCAGAACTATTTATAAGGTATCTGGGTTCTGACTTTCAGAGCAGCTTAGGGAAGAGAATTAGACTCTTCATTGTCACCAGATTCACACCTTTATTTTTTCTTGATCTTCCCATAGTGTGCAAAGTCAAATCTCACAGATTATGTGCTTTGAGAGCAAGAAAAGACTGCAAGTGGAATACCTTGTCTGTCACTGATGACTTACTCCTGCCTGCAGATGAAATAGTAAGTACTAGGCATTACTTCCCACAGTCACCCTCTCCCAGTTTCCCTTCAGCCAGGACACAAAGAGGAAGGAAGACTTTCAGTACTGATGACTTACTCCTGCCTGCAGATGAAATAGTAAGTACTAGGCATTACTTCCCACAGTCACCCTCTCCCAGTTTCCCTTCAGCCAGGACACAAAGAGGAAGGAAGACTTTCAGTATCCAGGCAAACAAAGCAGGACACTTCCCCCAGGCTCACAATCTAACCAATCTAAAAGAAAATCCCATTCCTACCTGTCACTGGTCACTAGCATTGGAACAGGGAGGGGAGGACCATGAAGACTTAGAGCTTTTACCTACCGTCCACTACAGGCTAGTGCAATTATTCCAGCTGGCTCTCCCTCTCCTTGTGTCTCTAACTTCTGCCTCTTTCTTTTTACCCTTCAGCAGATCATGCCCCATCAATGGGTAGAAGGAAATATGCCTGTCAGCTCTCAGTGTGCAGTATGTAATGAGAGCTGTGGCAGTTATCAAAGACTTCAAGATTTCCGTTGCCTTTGGTGTAATTCTACGGTGAGACTCCTTGATACTTAGAGATCTCCTTGATATATAGAAAACTTGCCTTCTAGAGAAGGAAGTGAATTGGAGTTTGACTATGCTTTCACATAGAAATCTCATAAACCCTTATTTCAAAATAAGTTATAAAGATTTTATAGTATAAAGTTTAGTATGCTGCCTTTCCAAATCAGGCTATGGGATTTTTGAGGGGAGAATTTAAGACTTTCATCTTTTAGAACTCTTACTTGGCGAGGCCTACTAGCAAATGGGTAAATCTAAACTCTCTAATAGCAATATGGGTAATTCAAAAATAAGTTCTGACTCTGCCCTTAAGAAATTTCCCTTCTTTATTTACTACTTCTTAGGAAACTATAATCTTTGTTAAATAATAATGATTAATAATATTAACACATTATAATTGTCCTTATGTATTGAATGTTATATATACATCACCTGTTTTTATTCTTGCAACAATCTTAAAACAAGTTTCACTATACCCATTTTACAGAGGAGGAAAGTGAGTTTCAGAAAGATGAAGTGATTTGCCCAAGATCATGTAGCCAATAAACAAAAGTCCTGATTCAAATAAGATTCTGCAAAGACCATATTCTTAACTACAATATTACTAGGCCTCTAAACCAGTGGTCCTCAACTGGGAGTAATTTTGACTCCCCTCCCCCAGGAGACATTTGGCAATGTCTGGAGATACTTTTGATTGTTACGACTGGGGCTTGGGAGAGTGCTACTGGCATCTAGTGAGTAGAGCCCTGGAGTTTCACTAAATCTTCTACAGTGTACAAGGTATCCTCTTTTCTTAAAAAAAGAATTATTTAACTTTATTTATTTATTCATTTTATTTAAATTTGACCAGAGAGGGACAGAGAGAGAGAGAGAGAGAATGAGAATGAGAAAACAAGCTGCCAGGCCCAGGCCTTGAACTGTGGTCTGCCATATGAGAGTCCAGCACCCTTAACCACCATACTACCTGTCAGCCTCCAGGGCATCCTCTTTTAACAAAGTCCTATCTGGTCCCATATATCAATGATGCCAGGAGTGAGAAACCCTGATCAAGATTTTCTAATCTAGTTGATGCTTATCTCAAACTGAGTTTTCTAAACAAGAAGAAACAAAAGTATGGACTTTGTTTTAGAAGACTCTGGTTGTCCTTGCTCTCTTTTCATTGCTTCTGAATAACCAACCCAGTTTCATGTCCCCTAGAAGCTGTGTAATTGTTGAGAAATGGTTCTTGAAAGTTTCAGAAATCTGGAAACAAAGACCACTTATGGAAAGGCAACAGACTTGGACAAAATTCTTTACCTCACTAAGCCTAATATCCCCATTTCTTAAATGAACCTAATAATGTTCCCTATCACACATAGTTGTTGTCAGGATTGAAATATAATAGTTTATCAGGACCAGTAGTTAGTGTAATGGCTATGTCGCTGAACTCCCATGTAGCTGACCACGGTTCAAGTCCTGGACCTGGTGGCTTAAACTCACATCAGATGCGTGTGCGTGTGTGCCCAAGATCCCAAGAGGAGAATGGAGGAGAGGGGATGGAGGAGAGGGGATTGCGGTGTGGTCTTCCTCCCGGAGGTGATTTCTTGCTTTCTATCTCTCTGTTTCTCTCTGTGTTCCTGGCGCGCACACATGCCCTATAACAAAAAGCCTCTCCAAAAAAAGAAAAAAATAGAAATATAATAGTTTATCAGGATTAGCACTCATATTACAAGTAAGGTCCCCATTGTATCGGCCACTAAGATTGTGCTGTAGGACTGGTGACTTCTCACTGCCTGTAAATGGGTATCTTCTGAAAGTCACCTTTGCAAAGCCTAGAGTTCTTGAGGTCATACTCAAAGATAGTCTCAAGGTGGAATAGGGGTACCCAGGTGAGTTAAGAATATGTGTATGGGACCAAATCTCAAAAAGAGATCTGAATACTAAGAATCTAAATCTCAAAATCGATATTTGAGATTGATCAATGTTATCTTTCTCCACTCCCCCCTTTTTTTTCTCTGCTCTTCTCTTGTCATTTCAGGTGCATGATGTCTGCAGGAGACGGTTTTCCAAGGAATGTTGCTTTGGAAGTCATCGCTCATTAGTCATTCCTCCCACTGCCCTCAGTGACCCTAAAGATGATGGTAAGTAGCTAAACTTTAACCTCAGAAATATATTGGAGAGGGAGAGAACATGCAAAGTTTGGGAAGAAGGACTGCAATTAAATTATTCTCCTCAACTAGTCAAACATTTAGAATAGAAATATGCACATGTGCATAGACAGTTTGTGGTTTTCTTTAGACATTTGGGATAGTCTATATGTATGTGGGCATGTTCTCTGTAGCTTTTGTCACAATTTTTTCTGACTGATCAGATTTGATTTCAGCTTTTTCATGATTTCCAAACATCATATAACCCATAAAATAAGTGTGTTATATTCAGGTGGTCAAGGAAGAACTGCATGAAGGTCTAGGTTATATTACTTTTAAAATGGAAACTAAAGGGAGTGGGAGGGAGGGAATCAGGGGGAAAAATAAACACACATTTAATAGCACAAACATGAAAAGTTAATCTGCTGATGATAATGTATATGGTAATATCTTTGACTATTCATGTTGGAGAAACCATGTTGTACACTGTAAAGATGCATAGTGATTAAATGTAATCAATGTAAAAATAAATGTAATCAATGTAAATGTAAAAATAAAATGCACACACAAAATAATGGAAATTACTACCAAGGTGATTCCCATATCTTAAACTAACATGACTATTGCTCCAACACTCTTCGTTGATGTATTGTCAATTCCTGGATACTACTGATGAATACAATAGTTAACTATATTCACAAGATGCTCAAAGGGTGCAGAGAGATGTACAAAATGGTCATTTTCAGAAGTAATGATTATTTTGGATCTAAGACAGTGATATAATACAAGTAGCAATTTAATATATTGGGTCATTGGGAAAATCATGACACATTTTTCCATAGAAATACATTGTGACTTTCTCAATGACCTAATAGCATAAACTAAGTGCCAAAAAAAAAAATGTCAAAGACACTTGAAGATCAGAAAATATCAGGAATGTTAGGCATCTGTAGAAGGTTGAACAGAAAAGAAGTAGTAATGAAATCAGTGCAATAAGAGTAAACTTTGGGGACCAGCAGTTAGCATAATGGCTATGTCGCTGAACTCCCATGTAGTCGACCGCAGTTTGAGTCCCAGATCCAGTGACTTAAACTCATGCCAGGCACGTGTGCGTGTGTGCCTAAGATCCCTAGAGGAGAATGGAGGAGAAGGGATTGTGGCATAGCCATCCCCCCTGGGGGGTGATTTCTCACTTTCTGTTTCTCTCTCTCTTTCTGGCGAGTGCACGTGCCCTATAGCAAAAACCTCTCCAAAAAAAAAAAAAAAAAAGAGTAAGCTTTGTATGTATAAAGTCTTCTAACAAAAGGTCTAGCCATGGGAACCAGCAGTTAGCGTAATGGCTATGTCGCTGGACTCCCACGTAGTCGACCGCGGTTCGTGTCCCGGACCCGGTGGCTTAAAACTCACGCTGGGCGCGTGTGCGTGCGTGCCCAAGATCCCAAGAGGAGAATGGAGGAGAAGGGATTGTGGCGTGACCATCTCCCCTGGGGGGTGATTTCTCGCTTTCTGTCTCTATGTCTCTCTCTCTCTGTCTGGCGAGCGCACACGCCCTATAGC